CAAACATTGTAATTACAACTGATATTGCTTCAACAGCAGTCAAATAAGACAAACAAATAAGTCCAACTCAACTTAAAAGTCTATGCTGTATTATTGTTTTATCGTACTTTTGGTTTCTGAATACAAAGTTCTAACTTGATCTGGACACATGGAACACATTGATTACTGCAAACAGCTCATCCATTGTCCTTTTTCTGATTCGTTATATTTTGGCAAAATATGAGTGCGCTCACATATTGTCCATCCATATGTTCATTAGTTCTCAACACTCTGACAATAATGAGCCAAAACACAAGCCAAATACACAGCTTTATTCATTTATACTCATTACCACCATGCACTCCCTACCATTCAAATATGTTTGGACAATTTCACATGTAATCAAACAGTGTGTACATTATTTGAATCATGGTTGTGCAGAACACAGTGACCATAAAGATGAATTTCAGAGAGGATTATGCTGCAGGAGAGGTTTGAAAGTCCCTATAGATGTCTTTGTCTCAAGGTCAAGAAATGTGGCCACCACTGACATCCAAATAACCAACCAAGCCGACCAATAGTTCAGACATTAAGGATCAACTTTAGGTAATTTAAGAGTTTATTTTTCCTCAAACAAAAAGGTCCAAAGACAAATTAATCCCTTAACTTTTCCACAAATAAAAAGGAAAATCTTGCAAATCATGCAAACCCTTACATCTATGGAGCTTTTACAGGAAAATGTTCGAGCTCCATGGTTGGTAAAATTACTACAACAATGCTCATAAATTATCAAACAGGAAGCAATACGTTTGCTCTTAGTTGACATTTATTGACTAACCCATGAAACTCTACAGGATATAGATGCTACAGCCTAGCTTTAGTGGAGAGTATTTGATACTATGAAAAAAAGTTTTCTCTTGACTGACTGTCCTGTTGATGGGAAATTAATCATTTCAACATGGAATGAGTTACAGCTTCCTGTCAGAGATGCAGAGACTGGCCAGGGGACCTGGTAATTGGTTAGTGTTGATCCTGTGATATACAATGATATCGATTACCGCCTAATAAATCTCATCTTGCGGGTGTTCCTGTGCGGCGGAGGTTTCAGTGTTGTTGGGGGACGCGTTCAATGAATGATCACCATAAAGCAGAGGAGATGGATAATGCTGAGAGAGAGCTTTTTCATGGTAATAAAGAGTCCTGGCATGAATGAGCGAGGGACCCCACAGCTTAAGCCTCTTCATGTTGATGATGCTGTATAGATTTTTCATTTGTTTAAGTAGGATATATCATATGCAGGAAATACAACATTAGCTGCTGTCAATAGAAACTAAACAGACGGCTTCCACGCCTCCACTCGGTCTTTAATGAACAGCAATCAATCACAGCTTTAGATATTTCCTATGGATAAATGTGCTTTAAAGTGGTAATGCATGTCAATATTTCATGCATAGACAGTTGATCTGTTTACTTAATCATATGTGTTCAGTTAATTAGACCTTCCACTTTTGAAATGTGCCAAAGATCTTATTGATGCCTTATATCTTTTTAACAAGCCCTCTATGTATCAAATACATATTTAATGATTAGTACTGTCTCTGAGTCGAAGCACTTGTACAGCTTAAGCTCCGCAGAGAAATATTGACTTATTGGTCTAATAGCTCAGTGCAGTTACAAGGGCCCATCCAATAATCTCTAAACACTTCATTAGAGATGACAAATAGCCATGTGGTTAACAATTCAACTGAATATAAAGTGCACAAGACAAACACTTTATTGGGACAGTACAAGAGCTGTTTGATGTACAGTTCAGACGAGACACTAAGCCTCCAAAAGCGATCTCAAATATGCATTAGTCTGTGCACAATAAATAGACAAATCAATGTACTTAATTCTTGGGTTTTACTCAGCTTGAGAAGTGTGAGATGAATTACATTTAGAAGGATGAGTTTTTATTATGATACTAATGAAACCAACTCTAGCCCATTAACCAGTCATGCGCAAATCGATTCAGTTTGCTGGAAATTGTCTGTTTGTCAGACTCTAATCTTTTATGCAGGCTGTTTTTCATCTATAGTGAGGTTTTTATTTTAGTCTTCATCAAACTAAAAGTCTATCTCAAGTCAGGCCACGGTTTAATACGTACCTTGGTTTATTGGTTTGGTTCAGTTCCAACCGCCTGGGCTCTTGGACTGTTTGTTTTTTGGGTGTATTACATTCTCTGGAGTTTTAGGCAATTTTTAGAGGAACAGCAAGGGGTTAATGCGTAGTGATATTAATTCACTGATCCCAGCGCATGGACTCACGGCCACACACAAACAGAGCTAATTGAATGAGAAATACAATGAATGGAAGTTGTACGCAAAACCGAAAAAATGCTTTGAACCACCAATTCTACCAAGCACATTTTCAACCGTGGATGCCATAACAAAGCTTTGTTTTGATCTGGAAAAATATTCTGACTGTCGCAGTCAGCCTTGTGAACATGCACAAAAAGGTATATTGGAACAGTATTTATTCTTTTTGTTGGTTGATGGGTTTTTGATACGAATCTTACATTATCAATTTTATAGAGCAAAACTTCACTGATATGGTGAATGAAACTAAGACTTATAGTCTAGGATAATGTATTAAGTTTGTAGCAATATGACGATTGAAATAATATTCTAAAAAAAATACTTTCTTGAACTCAAAACGTTATTTACGAATATTAAACATGCAGACAGTGCTGTAATCTATGAAGCAGGCTCTGCTGGATAAAGTATGTAATGAAACGTTTTCCTAATCACCACAAGATCTTCTTTATTTAATGGTATTAAAAAAATAGCTAGCATTTTAGCACATATCTGACATATGTCTTTGACCCATATCAGTGGGGTAGTGGCGATAAGATGTATAAAATATCTCTGGCAGAAACTACAATAAAATTTGGTTGTTGGCAATGTTCCTCAATCAATGTCAAACAATTGCCTCTACAAAATACAGTTTTTCAAATGAACCTTCTGCATGCACTGAAGACTTGGGCAAATCCAGCTCAGGTCTTACAATTTCCTCATGTTTGATTCTGTCTTTTTTTATATATATATATATATATATATATATATATATATATATATTCAGAGATGGTTTGTTACTTTTCCAAATGCTGCCGATTATCTTTTTTTCTACACCATAAATAAATGAAATTGAGCCTGAACTTAATTTAACTACACAGCTCCTCTTGCTTTATGGTTGTATCTATCCATGAAGAAGTCAAGAGTGGCAGTGATCCGGGGCAGAGTGGGCAAAAGGGAACTAGAGAGATTTAGAGGATGATAAATAAATAAAAGGGTTGCTCCTTAAATGGCTCTTTACTCTACATTTAACAGCATAGTAGATGGCAACTAAAACTTGTCTTTTTGGTTTTCTTTACATGATAACAAAAGATGGTCTTTCTTCAAAAAATGCCCAATTCTGAAATGACATACTTTACACTGATTCCTGCAACAATAAACATTTGTCCTATTTAAATAGACTATAACAGATCCTAGCAGAATTCAAGAAAGAATGTCTGTCGCAGTACAGCTTTTCATTGTTTCCACACTGGTCATTAACAGAATTTTGATATACTGTATTGGAAGCCTTTGGACACACAGATTTTCAAATAGCAGACAGTAAAAATGTAAATGCCTCAGTTATTGCCCAACAGCAGTGTACGGCAGTCTATGCATCTTCCACAATTTTTAAGCTTCAAACAAGCAACTTTTTCCATTCCTTTTCATCTTTCCAAATTAGTAGCGTGGAGACCATGCTGCTCTGTGCTGCCGCCATGGATGTATTATTGCTGTAACCATTATATTGTTTAATACAGACAAAAGAGAGCGGATTTAGGTGTAATTTATCACATGGTGGTGGGATACAACAACTCATTGGTGATAGTAGCCAATTGCTATTTTAGTCAGATTTAACAAAATGTAGGTAGTTTGGCCATTTAGAGCTGGCCTAGCAGTATCAATGAAGTCTAATATATGTTAGGCTTCAGTTTAATGGAGCAGCTTCAGTGTTTTGCCATGCAGGGTTGGTAGTTTAAGCCTACAGTTGTTAAAAATGACATTTTAATCACTTCATATCACACTGAAAATAGATTTGTACACCAGTGAATGAATCAGAAATCATATCAGGAAGAAAGAAATGGTACTGGAACTTTCTGAGACACAAAGTCTACAAATTGAGTTTCGAGTACAAAACAAGAAGATTTGTACATAGTTTAATTAAACGATATATACTTGAAGTAAAAAGTGGCCATGTTTTTATTGGCATCTTTGGAGCAGACTGTCTGTACATTAAAGCTCAAGGTCCCAGGTCACTGTAATGGATTGAGTGCTGCTGTCTCATTTCTCTCACTGCTCTTACCTTTCAACTTGGAAAAAACAAACTTTGATGGAAAAAGTTCTGTCAACAGTTATTACTTTTTGGATGTAATTTCAGATAAAGACGCAATATGGCTTTGCTTCTTCCCAATTTGACTTTCCATTTATGATATTCAATGTGAGGGATTGAATTACCTTGAAAGCTGCAAAAGACAGTCGCAGGCTAACCACACCTCTACATTAAAGTACTGCAGACTAATATTAGTTTCTATACATACTGAAGAGCTGCGCTGAGAGGAGGGTGCCTTAAAGTGTCTTGAGTGAGATACTGAGACACTTAAAAATCGCTGCAATTGGGCTGCTGGTTGTGAGAAAGATTATGAAAGTTAGCTTCTCATGATGCAGGGACTTTAGTTTACATAAATGTGTAAGAAATTATCATAAATGTGAATTTCTCACTGAGTTAATCAGTGAAATGTACACGGCTGAAATGTTCTTCCAGTTGTTACCTGCTCGCCGCCGGGGATCAATTTGTCAAGACTGTTTGTGAGCAGTTCGGTTGTAGAGGTCTTTAGTGTTATTGCATACGTAGCTGCATGACGTCACGCCCTCGCACGCGCTGCACCTCGAGCGGTTCAGTGTTTGATCAGAGTGGAGAGCGGTCCGGATCAAACGGCGGTGTTTTTAATGTCTTTGCACCTGTGAAACGGAATGTAATCTCACAGCTTTTGGGATGCTGATTTTTTTTTCTAAAGAAGCGCTCTTAGTCTCTTTGCAGATTAAACGGACATTTTGAAGTAAATGAATTATTGATTAGGTTGGTTTCAAGAGTTGTAATGCGCCTGTAAAGTTTTGGATCTGCCACACCCGGTGTTGTCCGAGTGACGGAGCAGCAGGACAGACTCAGGAGTGGAAATGTGTCTCACTTGTGTTTCCTGACCGTCAAAAAAAAATACAATCCTAAACTCCGGCTGGAGGCTCGCACGGTTTGGTTTATAACTGGACTCAGGTGGAGACTTACGATGTTCACTGTTGGATACACAGGATGCTTCCACACGTCTCGCACAACGTGCCAGCAGAAGGACAGCGGATGTCTGTGAACTTCGCTTGACATTTTCTCTTAATCCCCGAAGACCTCTTTAAAGCTTTTATCTCCTTAAAGCGCCATGATTTTAATAACTTTTGTGTTTATATTGTCCTTCCCGGGTAAGTGATGCTTTTATCTGTTGAATTGTTCTGTCAAAGCTTCAATGTTTATTTTATAAAAAATGCACCTGTTTCTGTATGTGGCAGTAAAGAAAGGCGCACCCCGTTTAAAAAAAAAAAAAAAAAGATGTTACTTTGTTTTATTTGTTAGCCTACAAATTGGTTAGACACACAATCAGCCTTCAGAAAGTTTTACTAATGCCCCGTGCATCTTCGTGTTTTCATTCAACAATACTCTCGGTGATTGATCGTGAGCCTGTTGTTGTGCGTAAAACATTAGTTTTAGTCGACAAATGAGTTTCCCCATCGTGAACCCAAATATATGCGACTTCCTCCTTCCCAGACTCCGTGTTCACCTTGAGGGGTGACAGCACCTCTCCCTCCCGCTCCCCTCGTCTGGACTGCGTGAAGGCCAGTGAACAATGTCTGAAGGAGTACAGCTGCAGCACCAAATACCGGACCATGAGGCAGTGCGTGGCCGGGAGGGAGAGCAACTTCAGCGCGGTGACCGGACCCGAGGCGCAGGGCGAGTGCCGCAGCGCTATAGACTCCATGAAGCAGAGCCAGCTGAACAACTGCAGGTGTAGGAGAGGCATGAAGAAGGAGAAGAACTGCCTCAGGATCTTCTGGAGCATATTCCAGAGTTTACAGGGTATGCACTTACTCACAGCAAACGACACATTATCATTAATCTTATTACTGAATAAACTCACTGAAAAAGTACATGTGCCTGAACATTTGACATCTATATTGGCTTATGTGAAGATAGAGATTATTGTAGTTTATTCTAACAAATTGGACCTCAGGTTATCATTTATTTATAGGCCTTAATTTGTAGTTTATGAAACAATATTAATATTAGAATGTTGATATGATTGATATTAGATATTTTGGTATCAGTACAAGAATTAGTCTCCAATATTCTCTACAGTTTGGTATTGTGAAGCGTATTAGATATCAGTTATCAGGTGTTGGTGAGTAAGCCAGTGAGTATGACATTGCAGTATAATCAATTAGCTAAACAAATCCAGTGGTCTCAGGTATATTTTCATGCAACAATAAAAATCCCAACAGTGTGGTGCACTGGTGCTAGAGAATCTAATGTTAATAGAAGCTAGCAAACAATTAGTAATCAGTGTTTCTCAACCAACAAGACTAAAAGATTGCATAACTGGTGGAGTATTGGATATCACCCAGTACTAATATCTGAATTATTATAGGGAATAGTAAAGGGTAGAGGAATATAGCCTATCTGTATTTGTCATTATTCACTTAGCCTACATGGCAACAATTTCATATTTCCAAAATACCAACTCATAAATGTAAGATGAGTCATTACCAAGTATTGTCAAGTATCGTTTCCATCACTTTCATGCAAAAATGGTCCTTGTGAAAAACATTTTAACTCTCTTTGTATGTTTCCACTAAAAATGAAAGAACTTTTGTTGAATGTCTTTCTCCTCCATACAGCTAATGATTTGCTGGAATACTCTCCATATGAGCCAGTCAATAGTCGCCTCTCAGATATCTTTCGCCTGGCCCCCATCATAGCTGGTAAGTGTTTGTTTTTTTTATATTCCTCTGCTTAAAGTTCGGACAGTTTGCAATGTTAAGTCACGCTACACACAGAGCCATTATTTCTCTGTTTGTGCCTTAAACCCAGACTTAAGTCACCACATCACTGCTGCGTATCTGTCACTGTTTGACAGCCGCTCTTTTTCTATCGCCGTCTGGTTTCAGGCTGCAGCTTTCAACACCCATTATCCATCACAAAAGCTTTTATCTGCCACTGTGACCCAAGCGTACACAAAGCAGAGTCATTTAGTGTGTTTCACTTTCAGCTCTCTAAGCAGTGATGAGAGGTCTGCATGGTTGGTTTTTTTCACTGTCACAAGCTGCAAGTAGCATTTATGTGCTAGTTTTGAATTAATCGTCATTTTAGAGAAGAGCCTGTGTTGTTTGAGTTTGCCAGACTGAAAACTTGAATTGACAAAAAGAGGAAAAGTGAAGAAGAGATGTTGCTCAGTGTTGGTTGTTCATGTCCTCAAATGTCAAAGGAGTGCAGGTGGATCTGGGAGCATACACCTATCTGCTGAGATCAAACACACTCACACACATACACAGTGGGGCAATTAACCATCTGTTTTCCGTTGAAAAGCGCTGATAGAACAAAGGAGTGTGTGTGTGTGTGTGTGTGTGTGTGTGTGTGTGTGTGTGTGTGTGTGTGTGTGTGTGTGTGTGTGTGTGTGTGTGTGTGTGTCTGGTGCTCTTCTATGTTGGGCTCTTTGGGCGTTTGCACCAATGGCAAGCAACCATTTCAGTGGAAAAATGGTCATTTGATTCCCTCCCTCTCTCTCCTCTCTCTCTCTCTCTCTCTCTCTCTCTCCCTCTCTCTCTCTCTCTCTCTCTCTCTCCTTGGCTCTAGCTGTGATTGAATCCACTTAGCGTATCACAGTGGCTCTGCTCCACATTGGATGACATAATGCTTAGCTGTATTTCAAATGGAGGGTGGATGAATTTATTAAGATTGGGAATTCTGTCTCGTACATGAATAGTTCAAATGTAGTGTAGAGGTAGGTGTAGCCATGCAAGACTAAGAAGATTTGGAGGAAAATTTAAATTTCAAAAACTGGTGAAGGATTAATGAGGATTTCATACAATGGGAAACTAAACAGACTTTATTAAAGTGTCTTGAAATGTTCATTTAATTTTTTTTACTTCAAAATCCTTTGCTTGATGTGGCTCAGATGAGACAGAACATCCAACCGAACAAATGTGACACATTTTCATCTTTATTAAGATATAGCCTATTTAAATCTAATTTGCTGCTAATGTGCTCCTTTATCAAAGTCAGTGGCTCAAAACATGGAGACATTAGAGCTTTACTTTTTGTACTATTTTATTAGAATATATCAACTATGGTCATGCACTGGAATGCAGCTCAAGCTGAGTGTCCAGTTGAATACATAACAGTGTGTAAACAGCTGAAGAGGCTCGAAGAAAAGTAAATCACTTAATGGCTTAGGTATCAGGAATCCATTTGCCATAAGTGACCTCATTCCTGGCTGCGGCTAAGCCGGGCTTCAGGCGATCCACAGTGTAAAATAACATACATGTGAGCCAGTGTAGGATCCGTAACATATCCCAGGGGTGACTTCAAGACATGATGCTTACCAGTCTGAATGTCTGACGATCAATGCTTGTTATTCTATACGTTTTATCCATTTTATTTTATATCCAATAATATCATCAAATTACATCTCTTTCATAGCTTCATAGCAATCAAGCTGTTTACTTGCACACTGGCAGTAAGTGTGCATGTTTTGTTCAAGTCTTCCTTTTCTATAGCCATGACTTGTTTCTAGTACTTCTGTGCGACTGCTGACACAGTGAGGTTTTAAGCTAAATGCTAATGCGAGGTTACCATCTTGTATTTGCTAATATAGGCTAATTAGCATTATAACAAATTCTGCAGAGGCAGATCATTAGTTTTCAAAGTATTTCTCCAAATTACCAGCCAGATTTACATATTTTGTTGAATGCCACACTAGATTAAAAACAAGACATCAAACATATTCCTGATTCCTCAGAGAGACACAACAAACAGTACTAAAGAATTATATATCTGAACCAACACATATAATCAAATCAGTGTTAATGGAATGCCTCATTAAATCAAATTACTGCTTTTTAACCAACTGCTGTTGTGTTATAGGATTTATGTTTATACTGATTTTGATAATTCAACAAATGTCAAAATATTTAATTCAAACCAAAATCCCCTCCTGCTGGTGGCCCTTGAGCCCCTCTTTCAAACTAGACTAATAGTATGACTCCTCACTGTTTTGAAACGACCTTCGTTAAATCTCTTTTCTTGATTCATGGCTGCTACAGAAAGCTTCACATTAGATGTATTTATTACATAATTAATTATAACTGAAAGGCGAGACAGCCAAGCCAATAAGTGCCAGAAAATAGTTTTGAGGAACAGCTTAAATTAAATGCTGCGTCATTTATAAATCAATGGACAAGTGCCTTTCAGAAATGCAATTAAATGCCAGTATGCAGACTGAGGAGCTGTGGGACAACCTCACTGCCATTAACAGAGGTAAAACAGAGCTTTTGTTAATCATTAAGAAGCCAAAGTCTTTAGAAAAGGGCATTGTTCTTCCAGATGTTCCTGCATTATTGGTTTTTTGAAATACCAAAAAGTTAGGAAAAGTTATGACTCCTGTTCCCACCAATCCAAACTCCTCATAACGTTAACTATTTTATAAGATGTATTTTTGGACTGTTCTGCTTTTATTTATAGGACAGAGGATAGAGTATGGTTGAAGCACATTGTATCATCAGAAATACTGTCTAGTCATGATTTGGATTTTTTCTTTTTAAATATTCAATAATTGATTAGTCAGAATTTAATGAATATTCAAAAATTGAGAAGTGCAATATTTTTTCATAAAGGAACATGCTTCAGTAGAAGAAGAAAAAATGACAATCAAAAACAATTATTTTGTTCCCCTGACTCAAGGAGGCGGTTTGCATATTGGTTTGCTCCAAATGTATCTGCAGGTGACAAATTACTGTATTTTTATTCCATGTCAAATTGTTTTCCATTTCAGAATTTCAAACTTCTGAAGTTTTTCAAAAGCCTTCAAGTTTGTTCTTCGACTTGCATGTAAGCAGCCACTCTCAGAGAAAATATTACTGGCTCGACCACTGAGCCCAGTTTAATTCCCCACCCCACCCCCCAGCATAGCTCATCAGTAGTCTTGCAGAGAATCAAGCCGCTGAAGAAGAGATGAAGCTTGGCATGATGATTTTCCATTGCAAGCACCTCGAGAATAATTCAGTAGGTCTAGTGGCCTGAAGCAACATATTCATTCTCTGTACTCTTTGTCCTCTGCCCCCTGGCCTCGCTGATGTGAACAGTGCATTTATGAGCAAACTGCTGCAGAAGAACATCAAAGTGGCCATCAGCAGAAGAAACACTTTTAATCTGTTGAACCTTTTTACACTAGACTGCTTTCAGCCATATCTGCGGATCATCTGCAGGCATTTCCTCTCCTTTGTTTTTGCTCTTGTGCCCCTCTGTAACCGCAGAATAACACTGTTTATTCCAACTGAGTTGACCAGAAGCAGCTCTGAACACAATAACAGCCATAAAATGGGGATTAGATGTTTTAATGTCACTTAGCTGTTGAGTAATCAATTATTCAAACTACAAAGTCAAACAAAGAGAGCATAGCCGATTAATTAACAAGAATTCTGCGTACGACAGAATATCATATTCTTCAAACTTTAAACGTAATGCATTTGTTCCACTACTATGTTCACCTCTGTACAACTCAACTGGAATGTGGTGAACAAAAGCAAAGTGTCATTACAAGCCCTTCTACAAACACGAATATTACAATTATTTTGATTTAGAGAATTTCATCTCAGTAGGTCACTTCCATCACTAGACTGAATTCAGTCCAGACAATTTCAGCAGGCGTTAAAATAGGTATACAATTTGAAGTTCACTTTGTTGCACTACCATGCCGTTGCAAGTCAAGGGGTAGCTCTGACAGTGGAAGATCAGGTTATCACTGTTATTACAATTACGGTGGCTACATTCTAGGGCTGGGACGATATGCTTTTTTGCCGATTCGATTTTATCCCCATACCTGGGTGCCAATTCAATTAAAATTGGATTCTAAGGTCTTGCAATAAATACACTGTATTGAGATTAGATAGGAACGATTTTTGCGATTTTCTTTTCCTTTACAATAGTCCAGACAGTATATCATGTGTAATACTTCCAAGAACCCTGGACAACGAGTCCTGCTCCATCCAGTAGATGATTGATGGCTTGAAGCAGCGACATCAGAACTTTACTGAACAGTACGGCGTTGCCTTTTAAGTTCTCCCACACTGCTGATTTTTCTCCCTCTTCATTGGGAACAGATCTGCAAAAATAATAACCGCTAACTGCTTTTAACGCTGGGCTAATGCGATTTCTTTTACTCACCCCTACTAGAGCCCCATCTCCTCTTGTGAAAGTGCACTTTGCCATTACCGAACATTAATCCAACACTCACTGCAAGCTGTGAGTTTAAGAGGCAAATGTTAAACCAAGTTTGATAAAAGGGAATGTAAATATATAGTATGCCAAACATTTAAAGAATTCTGCTATGATTAAAGCAATAGGTAAGTAAATACATATCAAGCCAAGTCCCATTGTTAGGAGCATAGTTAGGTGTGGGGTTGTGATGAGGTGGTAGGCCCTCAAATGTTGCGCTGTGATTTACATGAAAAGTTGTTGTTTTTTAACCAAATGTAGTGATGACAAGCTTTACAGGAAGTCTATTGGATAAGCAACCATGAGTGAATGTCACTGAGCTCTTACTAGCACATTATTTTTCTAGAACACACACCCACAGTCACTTACATGTTGACTAACTGCCAGCACTGCACCTGACACATATGAATCTTAGTGGAAGATGATGGCTCAGTAAAGCGGCTTGGAGAGCAGAAATTCCTCAACAAGATGAGTTTACCTGATGGATATG